TGGCAGCGGCGGCGGCGGAGGATGTGGCAGCGGCGGCGGCTGAGGCTCTCCCGGGGCCGGCGAAGTGGGCTTGCCCGGCTGCGGTGGGCGCCTGTCCAAGGAGATGTTGTTGAGGAAGAAGAGGGCGGCCTGCCTCCGCCGCGCGTCGCTGCCCCGCTTGCGAGCCCCTAGGTTTAGGGTTAGGTTTAGGGTTAGGTTTAGGGTTAGGTTTAGGGTTAGGTTTAGGGTGCTTTGGTAGGCGCGGATTTGCCCTCCGCGGTTATGTCATCGTGATAGGGTCGTTTTTTTCTTAGCGCTTCGGATGCCGCGGATTTGCCTCCGCACTTATATCGGCGTGGATAAGGGCTGCGCGGTTTTGTGGTGGAACCTCTTCCCTTTATGTTTTGCTTAGAGAAGAATGTGGAAGTTTTTTCACAACCACAGCATATAATCAAAAGCATAACCTTGTATTTTTTTGATAAACAAATGCAAAAACCTCAGGAAAAGTCCCTAAAGTATTCACTTGACATTTCTGTCATGAACTGATAAAAGTGCACTGCTTTGGAGTATATATGCCTGTTATGAGATTCATTTTAATTTTCTTGATGAATATAGAAATGCAGGCAGGCAACTACCACCAATGAAGCATTCTGGCTGTTCCCATCAAATGCCCAAGTGCAAAAGATTCCTGAAGAGACAGGAAAGATGACTAACCACAATAGCCTCAAATGACTGCTCAGCTGAATTTTTATTTCTGCATAGAGGAATCTTAGAAATGCCTTTCTCTTTTTTAAAATAGTATATATTTATATATTCACATATTTATTTTGTTGGTGAGTATTTCTCAGTTATTATTAAGGAAAGTATATAAATATTTGCAATGAATATAATATTAATACCTTTCCATTCTCTAGAATATATTTGTCCATTACAGGAATAGCAGCTGGGTAGTATGTTGACGTGTTTGCTTCCTCACTGAAAGCTGTCTGTACATCAGGCTCGGGTTCAATGGATTCAGGTGTAACCTTTTCAAGTTCTAGGGCAGGACCTATATCATTTAAAAAAGAGGAACAAACCATCAGGCTTTAATTTAAAGTGGGATGCATTATGTAATTATGTAGTCCATTTCACATGCAGAACCTCAAACCGATTAATGCTAATCTAACCTAAAATCCAAAGTCAGTATGATAGTAAAATATTACCCCTTTTTTCCTCCATTTTAAAAATGTTATTAATTTATCAAAATATAAAATACAGAAATACAAAGAAAAGTGAAAATAATGGTAAAATAAGGCAGGAAAGGGGAAGAGAAAAAAATGTAGGTGGAAGGGAAAAAGGAAAAAGAGCATTGACTTCTGACACCTTTTGGTGCAGTACAACAAGGTAATCAAATAACATCTTAATTTTTTTACTTTCACATAATAATATACCCAGCAATTTCTATAACAACAAACCTATTTAATTAGCAAAACTCAACATCAACATTTCATTTTTTTCCACTTCAAGCACAAAGTTCCAGTAGAAACAAAATTCCTTTCTTTAATCAAAGCAGTCAATTTTAGCCATCTCTGCTAACTCCATCAATTTTTGTAGCCATTCATCCAATGTCCTCCATTTTTGTGCATAGAGTAATTTTGCTGCCATCAACATATCTAACATCAAAGTTCCCCCCACCCCCAAAAAATTTCCAAGTTCTTTGTCCATTAGGTCTAAAAGAAAATTTTGTCTCTGGTATTACCCTCACCCCCCTCAAAGGATCATATTTTAATAAAATTTTCAAAAAATGAACATAAATATAAACAAGTGGAATATGAGATTCAAAGCAATTTAGCACTTGTTCTTTTTTAGATGTATTTTTTCATGATCACTGAAAGAAGTGACAGGTGTATTATGACATGTTACATATTATTACACAGTTGTTACATCTGTAACCAACTTTTCAGTTGTGTTTTAAAATGAAAAGGAGAATCAACAGTTGGAAAGAACTGTCAACATTCTAAGACAATCTCAGTTATTTTCATGTGACCAAACAGGGTTTGGACTTGGTTAATAAGTAGAGGTATACAAATATTCAAACTGAAGATTGAACACATTGGCAATTGAATTTCCAAACTGAATCAACTTTTTGAATTGTTGACTCAGTTGCGGAGATCTTCAATTTATTTAGAAATGTTTCTTTTTTGCATGGATTCAAATCTTTTCTCTGAACTGATAATTTGACTGACATAGACCAATTCCAAAGTAACTTGCTTCCTATTCACATTTGTTCACAGGGTTCACTCTGTTTTTGCTAGGTTGGGATAGTAGTCAATCCCATAATTGCAAAACCTGAAAAAAGATTATCCATCCTAAAGACAGATATGATTTCTTAAAGCATGAATATATCTTTAACTACCTATATATCTTGTCATAATGAAAAATATAAGCCAAAAAATCAAATAAACTTGATGTAAGTGGAAAATTAAAAGTTTAAACATAAATGCATCTTTAATGAAATTTTCTACTGCTTGTTGATATGTTAGTTATTTATACATATGGAATTACAAATCTTTTTAAACACCATAGTTAATAAATGCAACTACAATAATTCAGAGAACCACTGCAAAAACATGAGGTCCTAACAGATAGAAGCATTTGGCCAAAGATCTTGTAATATATTTTATTCCAAAGTTCAAAATATTTCACATTTCAATAATCAAAGCCTTCTTTAGGCAGCTGAACTTCACAGTAATTTCAGAAACTACTAAGAGTTGCATTTACAGCACAGCATGTTCAAATTAGACATGCAATTCCTTTTACTGTCTTTTTGCTAATTAGGGTTGCTTGCCTAATTTGCCATGCATCATGCTTACTTTCAAAAAGTATCTCACTTTGTAGTTTTTGCACTTTGATAAGCAAAACAGAAAATGTGCAGTTACGGAAGTTTTCTGAAAGTCAACACAAAATGTGTTTTCTTAGCACAGCAAATGCAGATGAAGGAAAACCCTTGCTTCAGTGAAAAGTTTTACTATTTTGAGTAGTGAGGTTCCTGGCGTAGGAATCAACCGTTGACTTACCTGAATGGTCCTTCTATGTGTGCTGCGACGGGAATCCAAGCATGGGTTAACTTTGTCCATTAGCCTAGAGACTGAGTTATGTAAATTGGTGACCATGCCTCCTCTGACTGGATGGGTCAGTTTTGTATGAAGTCAGCCGTTTAATGATGTATAACAATAACAATTACAAATGAGGGCTGTAACCCAACAGGTATACAAACATGTCAGAAAACATAAGTCACAACTGGGTAAAGTCCGGCATAGTCAAAGTCACAAGTCAGTGAAAAGTCAGTCAAGTCCAAAGTCATGACACCCTGGCCAGCCGAAGCCGCGGGCGGGTTTGGATTCCCCTCGCAGCACACATAGAAGGACCATTCAGGTAA